ATTAACTACAAGGCTTCACTTCATCACACTTCAAAATTTCATTCTAATTCGCTGCAATGAATGAATTCAGAACACTCCAAGCCCCATTTTAATTCACAGGAAGGTTTGAATTCATCGTACTACAAATCTTCATTTCATTTTACTGCGAGGCCTCCATTCATCAAGGTGCAAAACCTCATTTCGGTTAACCTCAAAGCTTGATTTCCTCATAAAACACGGCTTCAATTTATCACACTGAAATTGATTTGATCTTGCAGCATACTCTCCAGCTCGGTAACTCTACAAGAAGACTTTGGTTTGTCGCAAAACAATGCAACTGCAACAGCAAAGAAGATGATTTCTGACTTGAAAAAGGTTAGCCTACTGCCCAGCGACATCCTGAGAGCTGTTGATTCCCTCACGGCGCTTGAAAAGGAATATGAAAAGGAACTCGATCGTATGGAGAATGGCAGGGCGCTGGCCCTGGCTAAGGTTTGTTGTATTTGTTTTGAGGCCATATTTATTTCTGTAGATAATAAGTATTTGACTCAATCCGCTTTTTCTAGTTTTACGCGATAAGGAATTAACTCAAGCGATTGGAAATAAAAAGGTTTACTGAATATTTATGACACTGATATGTCAGCTGAGACTGCCTCTTCCAAGATACCCGTACACACACACGCATGTACATATATATATATATATATAATGCTATATACTTCCAAGATCATTATCAAGGTTATTTTACTTTCAAGTTCCTTATTTTCATCTGCATATACATATTTGTCTTGTCTATAGGGAAAAGTATTAATATTTCTATTGTTATCATATTCTTAGCTACCCACTTGCCAGGAATTGATTGTGTTCTTTCTTCTATGGCTTATTCTGTCCTTTCGATGCCATATATCTTTTTTCTATTACTTTATCTTTGTGTCTCTCATTTTACATATATATTTGTCCTAGTGTCTGAAGTTCAGTCTCTCTCTCTCTCTCTTCGTCTTCCTTTCTCTCTCTCCCTCTTTCTTAATTCCCTCTACGCCTCCATCTCCCTAACCTTCTCTCTCCAGTGCCCTCTCCCTCTCTCTCCTCCATTTCCCTCTTCTTCTAACTCCGTTTCCCTGACCCTCTCACTCTCCTTGCTAGTTTCCCTTTCCCTCTTACTACCTTGCCTCTTCTCCCTTTCCCTTATACTCTCCTTATCCCTTCCACTCTCCCTCTCCATTTCCCTCTTAATCTCCCTCTCTCTCTTACTCTTTTCCTCCTCTCCTCCCTCATTCTGCTTTGGCCTTTCCCTCTTCATTTTACTCTCCTTCCCCCTTTCTCTCCTTCCCCATCTCCCTCTCCCTCCCTTTCTCCCTCTTCCTCTCCTTCCCTTTCTCCGCTCTCACTTTCCTTCTTCTGTCCTTTTCCCTCTCCCTCCCCCACTTACTTTTCTACCCTTTCCCCCCCTTCTTTTCTTCCTTCTCTCCTTCTCCCTCTTACTCTCTCTCTCCCCCCCTTTCTCTCTCTCCCTCTCCTTTTTCTTTTTCTCTCCTTCTCCCTGTCTCTTAAACTCATCTTCTCCCTTCTAATCTTAGGAGTACATGGCTAATGTCATCGAGGTGTCAGGAGAGGTGCTTGAGGAGCCGAATCCCTGGCAGGAGCTGGCAGAGGCTGACAGTGGGCGTGCGTCAGGGAAAGTGCAGGCCATAGTCGCGTCAGCAGCTGTCAAAGTCGCGGAACTACTCAGCAACGGAGTAGAGGAATTCGAGACGGAAAACCTTCGTAAGAGTTAAGAGTTTTTTTCCTCCTCCTCCTCTTCTTCATCTTCATGTTCTTGTTCTTCTTTTCGGTGGCAATGAATCGTGTGGAATGGATTGTGTGTGGGATGTGTCTGCCTCTGTCCGTCTGTATGTCTGTCCATATGTCTATATATCTGTTAGTCTGTCTATGTCTGCCTGTATGTCTGTCTGTTCCTACCTCTCTATCTGTCAGGCTGTCTCTGTCTCTGTTTCTGACTGTCTGTCTGTATGTCTCTCTTTCTATCTATCTACCTTTGTGTTTTAAGTATTGTATATATTCTAATCTGTTCATATACCTATATTCTATATTTGAGGTGGGAGCGCACACTTGAACTTATTAAGGTAGGAATGAGGATAACCTACGTTACCTTTCCTTTTGAAATGTAAGCTTTTTTCAATAGAGTTAGGGTCATCTCTCGGAGATGACCCTAAATGCCGGATCTTCTTCAGGAAAACGAGCCTCATGTCCATAGAGTTGAAGTTGGCGCTCTCGTATCAGATTGGTAATAGGTCTTGAATCAGTCACACGGTGTATCCTCTGATTGGATGCATGGTCCCTCCAAGTATACCCCATGATTCTGCGAAGTCACTTAGTAGCAAAGGAGTCCACAGCACGGCCAAGTATCCAGTCCACACAAGTATTGAAAAGGGTTGGGGCCAGGACACATCCCTGTCTCACCCCGACAGACACCGGGAAAAAGGCAGGGATGTCCTCTCAGTATCTGTAAACAGGCCAGGCA